AGGCCAAGATCTCATTAGGAGATATTAGGAACCCTCTCATTAGGAGAGGATCCGTATCCGATTAAGTACAGCGGGTAGGTGCTGCCGAAATTTTGACGAAATAAAAGTACACTTAAACACACGTAAATACATATACACGGTACGTTTACATACCTAATGGGATAGAAGCCTTCCTCTGACAGCCGATCACACACACTTGTCCTATAACTTAAAATGATATATGTAGGGATATGCTCACTTCCATTAATTTTTAAATTCTAGATGCGGACAATTCCTGACAAATCGTTCATGGGCATACCACGTGATCGAAGGCATCTAGACACTCGATACAAGGATGGGATAGAAGCTTTCTTAGCCTACTCTGACACCAACCCTCTACGGTCACTCAGCGGGTTGATTTTTTGTCCTTGTAAGAATTGTAGGAATGATAAAATGCTCAACCCCCACCCCCACCCCCCGCCCTCACCCTCCCCTTCACCGATCCTTAATCCTAACCCTAACCCTCGGCTAACCCAAACCCTAACCTTAACCCTCGTCTAACCATAATCCTAACCCAAACCCTAACCCTAACCCTAACCCTCAACCTCAACCTCACCATCACCCCCACCCTCACCTAACCCTAACCCAAACTCTAACCCTAACCCCAACCCTAACCCCTCACATTCACCCCCACCCTCACCTAACCCTAACCCTAACCCCCACCCTCACCTAACCCTCGTTTAACCCTAACCCTAACCCTAACCGTAACCCGAACCCTAACCCTAACCCTCGCCTAACCCTAACCCTAACCCGACCCCTACCCCTAACCCTCGCCTAACCCTAACCCTCAACCTCAACCTCACCATCACCCCACCCTCACCTAACCCTAACCCTAACCCTAACCCTAACTCTAACCCTAGCCCTAACCCTAACCCCTCACATTCACCCCCACCTTCACCTAACCCTAACCCTAACCCTAACCGTAACCCGAACCCTAACCCTAACCCGAACCCTAACCCTAACCCTAACCCTCGCCTAACCCTAACCCTAACCCTCACCGAACCCTAACCCTAACCCTAAACCTCGCCTAACCCTAACCATAACATCTAACCCTAACCCTAACCCTAACCCTAACCCTCACCGAACCCTAACCCGAACCCTAACCCTAACCCTAGCCCTAACCCTAACCCTAACCCTCGCCTAACCCTAACCATAACACTAATTAAATTTAATTTTTTTATATCATAATTTCATCAAAATTAACATTTTTTATTAGGGTTTGGGTTTTTTGCACTATTTTTGTTTTACCAAAATTAAACACTAAATATAAAAATTAAATTACAAGTAAACAAATTAAAAAAATCACTCTACCCTAGGGGTGAGCACGGTTCGGTTCAAACCGAAAAAACTGACCGAACCGACCCGAACCGACCCGAAAAAAGCGGTTTTATGAGTAAGGCGGTTTGGGTCGGGTTGACAATTTTTCAAACCGACCCGAACCGAACCAACCGAATATATTCCCTTGCCTCAAACCCTACCCGTTTACCCAAAGACAAAGCAAGTCCGTTGAAGAGGGGTTTTTTCGGGCGCGGGCAGCCCAAAAGTTTTGGGCGCTCGCGCCCAAAAAAATTTCCCTCCAGATTACTTTAGCGACGGAAATTTCCGTCGCTAAAGATGTTATTAGCGACGGAAATTTCCGTCGCTAATAATCCGTTGCTAACTTTTTTAGCGACGGATAATTTCCGTCGCTAAATTGTAAATTTCCGTCGGTAAATAGACTTTACCGACGGAAAAATAGCGACGGAATATTCCGTCGCTATAACCCATGTTATAGCGACGGAATAATCCGTCGCTATTTTTCCGTAGGTAAAATGCACTTTTCCACTAGTGTAGTGTGAATCATACAAATAATATATAAGCAATCATAGAAACAAAGCAAAAATATATTAAGTAAGAATAAAAGTCAAGTAAGAAACAATAAATCTAAAGCAAACACAAAAGCAAGTCAAAGTTAATAGAAACATACATGAACATAAACAACATAATAAGAAAAGACGAAAAATCTAAAATACATAACATTTTAAACAAAACATAATGGCAGAGTATAACAATGGTTAATAAAAAAAAAGAAATTTAATTATGAAAAACACAATCAATATAGGTTCAAACTAAAGATATTAAAAACACAATGTAAGATACAAAATCAATAAAAATAAGTAAACGAGCGAAAAGCAAATATCAACAGGATCATATAACAAAATAGAATAATATAATAATAAGTATAAATCAAAGATATAGGAAAAGCAATCATAGGCAATTAGAAGAATAATACATACAAAATAAATACAAATAAAAAGAAAACATATATAATTGATGGAATGATGAAAAGTAGTCTGAACATAGAAAAGACACGAAGACATTCAAGTATAAATAGCTAAACACAATTATTAAAACAATTATACAATCAAATAATCATGTAAAGCAGTATACAAAAATTAGCAGATAATTAATTCGTTACATAAATATTGGGAATTTACAAATTGTATACATAATAACTAGAATGCGACAAACAATATAATCATGTAAAACTAAGCAACACAATGCAAGTGGAATATTAGAGGGTAATTGAACATAAACCAAAAAGATATGATATACAAAACAATACAAAACAGACAATCATGGAAAGACAGAGTGATATGACACAACAACATATAAGAAAATGAATTATATATAGTATATCATATCAAAAACAAAATATATAATTATAGACGTATATCACAGCAATAATTATCGAAAACACACACTTTATATAAATATTATGACTAAATAATTGAAGCAGATAAGCCTGAACAAAGAACAAAATATAAAGTAAGTATTAGAATGAATAAAAGAAACTATATATAGAAAATAAGTAAACAAAACATAAACAAAACTAAGAAAGATGAAATGATTGATAAATTAAAACAAACAATGGCGATACATGTAATTAAAAGTAAAGAATAAAATGAAATATACTAAATGAAACTACTTATACGAAATAAAACAAGCTAGCAAGTTAATAATACACTTATAATATAATATACAATAGTAGACAATGATAATATAAAATGACTAAAAATATACTAAAACACGAGAAGGACGTAATATTACTAGAAAAGCACAAGATATAAGACAAGAATGCAGAACAAATCAGGAAGAAGGACAATAAAAATAAATTTTATAATAAGGTATACAAAACATACATAATCGCAATTAAAAATAGCATTAAGTAAAAGAAATAAACATAGATAGAAACACATCAATACATATAGACAAACAAACAGAGGCAAATCACAATAATAATCAATAGCAGAATGAAATGATACACAATAATTATTAGCATACAAACAGTTATATAGCACAAAGTAAATAATACTAAATCATAGTTAGGTTCAAAGAAACACAAATAAAATCAAAAAAATAAAAGATATCAAAACAAAAGGGATAAACAAGATTTAGAAACATATGATGTGTATAACAAATATAATCATCATGTATAATAAGCGTTAAAATGAAAACACATACACAATAATAAGCATATAAAAAGTCTAAATACTCATGGTACTAATCATGCTAACAAAATAAATTATGATGAAAACAGTCGCAAAATATTATATGATAAAATAGACATAAGAGCAAACAAGTGATTCAAAATACACATATTATATAAAACATAATAAAGGACATAATTATATATATTCGACAAACAATTATGATAAATCAGAAATATTAGTAATATTCATAATGTAAAATAATAAATTTAAACAAAATATAATAATAATAATTATTACTGTATAAAATCAATTCAGATGCATTAATATATTGTATAGTAGTCAAAATCACATAAATACAATCAACATAAATATTCATAAATAAACATGTATAATACATAAAATATGAACTATGGAAGATAAAATGGATATATAAACAAATGAAAACATAAGAAGAGCAGAAATTTGTAAAATTAAAGGCACCGACATATTTTAGATAAACATACCATGAATGATTAATGACATGTGAACATAAACACTGATAATACATGAAACAGAATATGATTAGACAAAGTTGATAAATAACTATAAATCAATATAAAATATACATCATAAATATAATAATACTAGTATTTAGACCCATGCAAAGCACGGTTTCTAAAAGATTTTCACAACTTGATTGTAGACATTGATATTAACCAAGGGCTCTTTGTGATATTATCCAATATGTTTTGACTCAAATTAATTGTTCCACGTAATAGTATTAAACAATGGAATTTTATTAATAAAAAAAGATTCATAACTTGTAGATCCTGTAGAAGGGAAAAATAACCAAACGAAAACACATAAATCACCTTGGAAATCAACTATATATTAGAAGTGTGGAATTCAACACACCAAAATTGAGCAAAAGCAGCCATATTGAGCTCGGTTTAGACAATCATCCTCATAGTCACCATAAAAGAAGAAACACATACTCCAAACATGAGCATCATTAAGAGCTACCCGCAGAGAAAAAACATATCTCCACCAAACTAGATAGAATCATATCTGTTTCTGCATAGTACTAAACACAACTATACTATCTGAAAAATGTACTATAAATTAAAAATTACAAAATCTCATATGGACTCTTTTACTCTCCCATGGACTCACTTATTTCAAATTCTCTTCAATCACTAGTAGAAATTTGAATTTTCTGGACGGAATATTCTAGACGAAAAAATTTCCGTCTAGGATGTAATATCCTAGATGGAAATTTTTCGTCTAGAATATTCCGTCTAGGATATTCTATTCTAGACGTAAATTTCCGTCTAGAATAATATTGTAGACGGATTTATTTATTTAAAATTTTTTTAAATTAACTAAGCATTTTAGACGGAAACTTCCGTCCGGGTTGTATCCTAGACGAAAATTACTGTCTAGAATACTCAAGTCAGTTTTTATTTAAAAAATCACAACCCCTAAATTCTGCTGCCTATAATTGCCGCCTCAAACCCTAAATTCCCAAATTCTCTGCGCCCTCCCATTCTTCTCCTCTGTTCGAAGGCCAGAACCGTCGTCCCCCTCGATCCCGCGCCCTCCCGTCGTCCTCCTCGACATCTTTGTCCCGTCGTCCTCCTCGACGTTTTGTCGTCGCCTCCCCCTCAGCTCCTCGACGTCCTCCTCCGACATCATCATCCCGTCGTCGCCTCCCCCTAAGCCCCTCAGATCCTCGCCGTCCCGTCATCCTCCTCGACGTTTCGTCGTCATCCTCCTTCGACATCGCCGTCCGAGAGTGCACCCTTCCGCCAAAAAATTCATTCACAAAATTCGTTTCTCCGCCTAAATTCACAAACTCAGAAATAAAACCCCCAAAACTTTTATCCCCCTTCAAACCCTCTCTAAACTTCTTTTTCTCTCTAAAAATCCCTCTCATTGTAAACCCACTTCGTCTTCCCCCTCAAATCTCTCGAAATTTCCCAGTTTTAAGGTAATTTTCGTCCCAGATCCTCGGATTTACGTATCAAGTTCGAGTCTTTGACGAGCAAATTGAGTTTTTTGAGCTTGAATCGAAATGGGTGGCTTATTTTGTTTTTATTGTAATTTTCTGTTGGTTGTGTAGGGATTCAGTTCGAGAATGGACTCTATGATTGTAAGCAAGTCTGCGTGCTCGGCTCGGGTAAGTTCACTGCTCATTTTTTAAAAAATTGATTTTTTGGTGTTTTCACTAGAATTTTGAGCTTAAGTTTTATGTTTGTTATTTAAGATAATATTTGTGTTATGTTCTTTATGATCCTGTATGTGATAATAATTTGAATTAGCGTTTGAGCCTGTAGTTGAATGATTTTATGGTGGGCGAGTATATTGGAAGGTTGGTACATTGGCTGAATATGATTGAATGATGATTTGGGTAGAAGGTTTAGTTATACTTTTTCATATGGTTTGTATTTTTAAGTTCTCATTTCAAACTTTTTAACGCGTAATGTAAAAACTATATTGTATTTGTATGGTTTGTATTTTTAAGTTCTCATTTCAAACTTTTTAACGCGTAATGTAAAAACTATATTGTATTTGTTTTCGATTTGCAATGGATAGTTTAGCTGCTAATTGCATGATTTTGTGTTTACTCCAACTGGTGTGAAGTATTTGCACAAGAAAGCTTCAGAATATGACATCGGGATCTATTTTGAAGCAAATAGTCATGGAACAATTCTATTTTCAGAAGATTTTATATCTATCCTACATGATGTGGAGAAAGAGCTTGCTTCTTGTCCAGGTTAACTCAACTACCTTATATCTATCCTACATGATGTATTATAAGTGTGGCAGCTTGGAAGATGTGTGCTTGGTGTTTGATAAAATGCATGTTTATTCTTTAAGTGTTACAATGTTTACTAACGATATAAATGATGACTTCAGATCACATGGCATTGAAACAATTTGATACACCCGATGAAAAAGCTCCAAACTCATTATACAGAGAAACATGACTTGTAAGCATTGTCGACATACAAACATGAGAAAATAAGTAAAATTTATTATTGTTAAATTTCCTCCCATGTTATTTTTAATTAGTTTATGCTTGCTAGGTGTTTGCTAAAATGATCTGCAGTTAAATTAGAATCAGTGATTGATATGTTTGCATTCTAATTTATAACTAATGTGTTGAATGGCTTGTGTTGCATTTCAATTTGTGTTTGTGAATTAGGCGTGCTTGATTCCAAGTCATTGTGTATGTTAACAAATTGATTACAAATTGATGGTGTAATTGTAGTTTCATTTGCATTATATATGATTACAAATTGATGATTACAAAATTTGGCTTATCCAGAGTTGAACAAGTTAACAGTTTAGGTATCAATGATACAAAATCAAATGCGATAGTCTGGTGTCTTTGTACATGCTGCTTTTTCATTTATTTAATTTTACAATGCAGATGTAAACATTGAGATGAAGTGCCTGGTTCAAACAACAAATATAAGATATGTGTTATAAATTATACCCTTTGTTCTGGAAATTGTTTGGGTATTTGTTGTTCTCATTTTGATTAACTAGCATACACTCTAGCATACACTCATTTTGATTAACTAGCATACACTCATTTTTGATTAACTAGTCTGGTGTCTTTGTCCTTGGTTGATAGTTCATGAGCCTGGAGCTTCCGATGCTGTGGAGGTTTCCGTGTTCCAAAAGTGTAGGCAGTTCGGACATTTCACCCACCACGAAAGTAGTATAAATTGGATTCTTAATGTATATTTGATTTTTCTCATTGTCACGTGACTGATTTTGTAATGCTAATACAGCCATAATGACGCTACTTGCTGTATTTTTTGTGAACATGTATCATTCGGATTGCGCATTCGTTTGCAAATTTCTGGTGAATATGTATCATTCGGATTGCACGTATTTTATGTGAATTAATTAGTAACGTTGTTATTTGTATTTTTTTTGCTTCATTCTTCAATGCACAAAGTAGGTTCCTCACCAAACAGCAGCAAAAAAAAACTACTGTAGCATAGCATCTTAGACGGAAATTCCGTCTAGGATGCTTTTTTAAAAAAATTTAAAAACATCAATTTCCTTCTAGGATGAGTATTCTAGACGGAAATTTCCATCTAGGATACTCATGCTAGGCGGAATTTTTTTCGTCCAGGATGCGGTATTCTAGACGAAAATTCCGTCTAGAATATTCCGTTTAGGATGTATTCTAGACGGTTATGAATTCCGTCTAGAATATTCCGTCTAAAATGTATTCTAGACGGAATTTTCGTATAGAATACTACATCCTAGACGGAAACTTCCTAGACGCGTATTCTAGATGAAATTCCGTCTAGGATACTCATCCTATCCTAGACGAAATTATGTGTATCCTAGACGGAATTTTTCATCTAGGATGCCTCATTTTTTAGTAGTGAATATTATCATGATAATAACCCTTCAACTTTGGTTCTTAAAAGAACTTTACATCACCAATCTAATTTGTATTAAACCATATAAAATTTGTATTATGACCTACAAAGGGCTTCATATTTTTACTAAACCACATAAAATTTATATTACTCAAATCAGCTACCTAAATGCAATTCCACAATCTAATAACTAATCAATGAACCCAAAAGCTATATTTAATAAAATTATTAAACTATAAATATGAAGTCATTTAAGAATTAATTAAGGGAGAAGCAATCATAATACACTGGTAAGTTTGAAAACCAAGAAATAGCTAGCAAAAAAAGTATAAAGATAAAGAGGCCCAATAAAAAAATTATAGTCGAAATCCTTAAATGACGAATCAAACACTGATCAAAATGAAACATGAATAGAAAAAAATTGATCTAAATCAAATGTGAACAACAAAAATAAGCCCTAGAAAAGTATTTGACCGCATGAGGTCCAAATCTTACCGCTAGCAAGTTTTCCTCGTTTGTACGGTCTGATTGAATCAAATCATATAAACACATCAATATGATTTCCCTAAAACTAAAATAAAATCTCAACAAATCAACATATCATAACTTTAAGAGGACACATCAATATGATTTCCCTAAAACTAAAATAAAATCTCAACAAATCAACATATCATAACTTTAAGAGGAAATCTTTAAATATGAAAAAACTAAAAGGCTACCTATAGTAGTGATCGCATCTTGATTTTCTCGACGACAATGGCCGATCATAGCCAGCTCATCCCTACAATAAAACTATAATTAACATGAACTAACATGTATTAAGTGCAAAGTTAGTATAAAATTTGATGATATGTTTATAAATACTGATTAAACATTTGTGAAGGTACCAGTTAACAAACATAATAGGACTATGGACAAAAGAAAACACATGAAAACATTCAGTTTTTTTAGTTAAATATATTTACTAATTGTAATATTATGATTTTTTACATCTTATTTACCATAATTAAAAATAAGAAAAGGTGCATCAGTATACAAATAGATTACAACCTCAACACTCTGAGATTCAACTATGTTATTATTATTTAAGTAATAATAAATACATGATGGACCAAGGTTCAAGTGAAAGACTTACCATCAAGGTCTCTCAAACACTAAATTCTGAAAATTACAATTAGAAAAAAAATACTATTTCTCCAGAACTTCTCTAAAAAGGCAACAATGGAGCTAGTGAGCTACAATATTTATATTTTGATAGGTTACATACCATACTTCTAGAAAAAGCTTATAACTATCAACCAACACGAAGAGCCCTTGGTTAATCTCAACGGCTACAATCTTGCTTACAAATCATAGGTTGTTTATTTTGACTATATAAAAGAAATACAAAGCGGGAAAAGAAGATGAAAAACATCAAGAATGACAAAGAAGAAGCGACTATAACAACATAATGAAATAAAGTGCGAAATTACCTTGATGCATTGTGATCCCAAAAAGCAGTAACAACTCACCTAAACACTCCATGAACAAAAGAAAATTCACTTGAATCCATTTTTTAATGCAAGAGTATCTGTCGCTATTTATTAGCATTAGGTTATTTTGAAAACCAAACTTATGCAAATGAGCTCGGATATGCACAAAATTAGTACATTAGTGAAAAATGCCCTAATAAATAAAACAAATACTCTAAGCCAATAACAAAAGTAAATATAATAAGTTCAAAAATAAATAAGTGTGATTGTCTCATAATTTGGGGCTCCAAGAAACTTTAAGGGAAATATTCTTGGTCTTGCCAATTCCACTGCTTGCTCTAGTAATCCACAGAAACTAATAGTCAAAATATTTTCAGTTAAGAGCACAAAAAATATTAGTTAAATTAGAAATAAAATCATAATGTACTTGGATTATCCCATTTCCCTCAACTTCTTCATGCTTCACGTGTACCTTCGAAACATAGAAAAACCCTGGTCACCAAAAATAAGCCATTAGAAATGGGGAAATTGAAGGGTTTTCGATTTTATCATCGACGTTGAAGAGGAAGGCTCCAATCAGCGCATGGTGGCTGATCAAAGAGCCAACTACAAAAAAGGAGGACTGAGATAGTTCCCGGTGGTCTAGGATTAGGGCTAGGGTTTGATTTCAAAAGATATGTAATTTCTTGGAGAGAGAGAGTTCCCGGTGGTCTAGGATTAGGGCTAGGGTTTGATTTCAAAAGATATGTAATTTCTTGGAGAGAGAGTGGGGTCTGGACATGATAGCAGATGAAAGAGAGAGAGAGAGAGAGAGAGAGAAAGAGAGAGAGAGAGAGAGAGAGAGAGAGAGAGAGAGAGAGAGAGAGAGAGAGAGAGAGAGAGAGAGAGAGAGAGAGAGAGAGAGAGAGAGAGAGAGAGAGAGAGAGAGAGAGAGAGAGAGAGAGAGGGCTCAAATATAGGGGAATTAAGGTAAGGGTGTGAAGATAGGAAGAGGGATTCAAGCTCAGTGAGGATTTTGGAGATTCGGTGTTGTTGTCTTCGTAGAGAGAGAGAGAGAGAGAGAGAGAACGTGGGGCGGTATGGGAGGGGTTGGGGTGGTTTTCCCAAAAAAAAACCACTTTGTAGGAGCGTTGGTGTGGAGTTGAAGGAAAACGTGGGCAGGTGAAAGGAAAATGTGGGGAGGTGGTTATTTTTGTAGTTGGTTATTTAAATGTGGGCATGTGAACATTGTTAATTAAAAAATCTTATGTTACTATTCATTATAAATTTTTTGTTGTTCTCCTTTAGTAATACAGAAGTAGATACGTGCATACTCTATAATAAAAAGAGAAAGTAAGTATAAAAGAATAAAAGTAAAAAATAACACAAAGTAAACGAAAAAAATGAATAGAGGATGAACAACAAACAATGACAAAATAAAAGACATAAAAATCTAAAAATACCATAAAATAAACACTGAAAAAATTACATGCGTATACAATGTATATTGTCACAAAGGATAAAATAATACTTATAAAAAACAAAGCAAACAAACAAAAAATATGCAAATGTATTATAAACAACCTATGAGTAAATATCATACATACCCACAAACGCTATTTAGAAGTATCTTTATATTAATTATAAAAGAATAATAATCAAAGATACAAGATAACGTAACAAAATCTATATAATTAGTAACTTAAACCCCAACCTAGCAATATGAATAAATGCTTGAATATCTAAAATAGAAATACTTTGTTTATAGAAATAACGAAACGAATGTGAACATATTAAAACAACATAACCAAGACAAAACTGACTGATAAGAAAACTATGTACTTAAAATATTATGAGTTGAATAAATAAAGAATAAGAATATAATGCATATGTAGAATATCAAAATCATGAACTTATTAATGTATATCATTAAAAATACGAATAATATATATAATAATCTAGAACATAAGTAAATGATAGATGATATGACAGAAAAGCGCGCACATACACAATGTAGATATGCAAAAATATATTTAAACATAAGAAAATAATCTGAATATCAGATATGCTATGTGATGTATATGTGAAGTCTAAAGCAATGCGAAACACTTAATGAACATGATTTGAACAATTGAAATATATAATTAATTATTTATATTTTTAATAAAAAACATACAATATAACATTGTGTGTGATACATAAAATAATATAATAAATAATACAAAAATGAATACAATCAAATGATGTATAAGTCAAACCAAAGAAAATATAGTTGTAAAAACAATAACACATTAAATAATGACTGGTACGAGTAAAAGTTATACAAAGAGAGTGTAGTCGGGAAGTGAGGAGACAAGAAACAACGGGAAGTTTCGGAGTAAAAAATGATAAGGTAGGGACTAAGATATAATTCATCAATATGGTAGTATAATGGCTGACTATATCCTTACAGATGAAATATGATATGCGTCTAAATTATTCATTATATTCTCACTGGTAGAAACTCGGGACCGTGACTTGCATGGGCCACCAGAAAAAACTTTCACGCCCCGCTTTCCAAAATCGGGGAATCAGGACGCGAGCAAGCCCACGACGTATTAGACTGAGGAGAAATAAGTACTAGACCATCTATACTCAATCTAATACGCTAAACGTCAAGCAATATAAAGTGAAGGCACATGTCCCCGATCACAGTAGTGAGAATATAATAAACAACTCAGAACAAAATGATACATATCACAACTAAAACATCATCTCAGACATAATATTTGGGCCAAACATACCCTTATACAAAACTATTTGAATGAAATACTGAAAAAATATATTATATATTGATCAGGCGGAAATGGAATGTGCTATAAAAGTAAACTAAGGATCAACAACTAATAAAAGAAATGACTAGGCTTCGATTTCTTCTGCTCGGTCTACAAAGCACTCCTGCGAAGGATCCTCTGGCTCCTGTACGACTCCGAACTGAAGTTGTCCGTCTTCTAGATCTGACGTACAACCTAAGAGAATAGGAGTACGTCAGAGGGCATGACACACGGCAAGATCCCACAAGGAAAAATAGAAACAGTCGAACGACCAATGTAATAATAGTAAAAATAAATGGGAGTATGGTACTAGAATTCTAATAATCTAAATGCAATCTATCATTAGAATATAATAATCAGAAAAATCCAAAAATCAATCGGGTAACAAGGTCATGTAGCTAGCGATCAGAATAATCATCCAAGTAACATGGTCATACAACTAGATGGAATTAATATTTAAAAATCTACAACTCGAGACGTAGTATGTCGAGCGAAATAATCCAAACAAGGAAACCCTCATGTATAACGTAGTATGTCGAGCGAAATAATCCAAACAAGGAAACCCTCATGTATATACCATATGTCTCAAATTATAGATAATTAAATATTAATCTCAATCTATGTATGAAAAGAATATAACTAGTCCGTATCTCATAAGAATCCATAATCATCTAAATAACGAGATTATATAACTAACCATCCTATAACAAGTTATTGGTCAATTTCTCACATAGAGTCAACATTCATTTTCTCGGATAGCTGACTATTCACAAATCCTCTACGTGCATCCATACCTGCAAAACGGTTCGGTGAGAGGACTACACACAATCCAATTTTGGTCTGGTCCAAACTCAAGCAAAACTTGGGTGACGAAATGATTTCACTGACCAAGTGTGAAACGATTCATTTGGCCCAACAAACCAACCCCAGTGCGAAACGGTTCACTGGTGCGAGTCTGGAAGATACATCAACAGCCACATCCGATCACATGAACCAAGACTTTTCAACCCCAACTCTTCTTGTTTTTCTAAGTCAACATACACCTGTCACTAAGTCTTGTACAAGGCCACTAAGGTCATGAACTACTAACAGTTCTCAATCACAACAAGAAATAATAGATACAATTGATCATGTGCAATAATATCATGGCATATCACATAATTAAATTTAAGAATTATAAATCATAACAGTAACTATTAATAGTACGGTGTGTGTGTATAGTAGCGGTGAGCAGATCAAAAATAATTTCTTTTTCAAAATAGATTTCCTTTAAATTATTTATAATTATTCTAAAATAATTCTGTTACTAAAATAAATTCTTTTAAATCATTATAATTATCTAAAATGATTCCGCTGCCAAAATAAATTCTTTTAATTTATAATAATTATTCTAAAAATAATGTTTTATCAAAATAAATTATTTTAAAACATCATAATTATCCTAAAAATGATTCTTTTACCGAAATAAATTCTTTTAATTCTGAAAATGCTATTTATCACATTACTATGATTTATTTATTATTATTCATTAAACAATCTCACAAAGATAATTATATCACAATCTAAATGCTACAACTAATCACAATACAGTCAAATATATACATATAATTTATAAGGAATCTAAATTCAGATTTGAGCAAGAAGGATCTTGCTTATGAGGGTGAGGGTCCTGATGACGAGGTGATGATGCTACTGCAGATGTTTTGGACTGAGGGGGCAGCGGCAGCGAGCTCCAGGAGTGGCGACGACGAAGCGGCGTCGCTGCTGGTGGTACGACGGCTGATGGAGAGGCGACGATAGAGAGAGGGGCTGCAGCGGGTGTGCTCGGCTGTGGGAGTTCAGCAACGATGGCGACTGAGTGAGGTGAGGGCCTGTAGACGACGAAAGCAGGGTGTCGTGGCAGTGTTCAAGGGCCGAGGGAAGCGGAGGAGGGTGGCGACGACGGAGGGTGACGGGGCTTTGGGCTCGGTGACGAACGGTGATGCTGTCGGTGGTGAAGGGGAGCTCAGGGCGACGAGGGGTGGGCACTAGGCAGATCTGGGCTGAGCTCGAGGAGGGTGTCTATCATCGACGAACGGAGGAGTGGGCAGCGAAGTCGTGACGGGCGTTGGAATGAGAGGGTGGTCGCTCGAGGTGAAGGAGGAGGCGGAGGTGACGACGCTGGACCTGGTTGAGAGGATAACGACTCCTGAATGGAGAGCGGACGATTAGAGAGATGGGCTGCAGCGGGTGTGCTCGGCTGGCGGAGTTCAGCAAGCGATGGCGACTGAGTGAGGTGAGGGCCTGTAGACGACTGAACAGCGGGTGTCGTGGCAGTGTTCAAGAGCGCGAGGGAAGCGGAGGAGGGTGGCGACGAGGGGTGACGGGGCTTTGGGCTCGGTGACGAACGGTGATGCTGTCGGTGGTGAAGGGGAGCTCAGGGCGACGAGGGTGGGCACTAGGCAGATCTGGGCTGAGCTCAGGAGGGTGTCTATCATCGACGAACGGAGGAGTGGGCAGCGAAGTCGTGACGGCGTTGGAATGAGAGGGTGGTCGCTGGAGGTGAAGGAGGAGGCGGAGGTGACGACGCTGGACCTGGTTGAGGGGATAACGACGAATGGGGTGGAGGCATTTAAGGAGGAGGGAGTTGCAGCGGCGACGGGGATGGCGGCATGGTCGTCGGAGCTTGGGGTTGGAGGAGATGGAGCTGGGGTTGGCTTTGAGGGAGAGCTTAGGGGCGGAGGAGGAGGCTCTCTAGCGGGGGACGACGGGTGAAGGAGGAGCTCGGGGCTGAGCTAGCGCGGAGGGACGACGAGGAGGGCTGGCGTGGTGGAGGCGCGGCCTGGAGGTAAGGTCGATGTGGTTGGAGCTTGGGGCATGGTTGTGTCAGGGTAATAGTGGAGCTCGAGTTGTGACGTTGGCGAACGGAGGTGGAGGAGGCAGCTGAGAGGCCATAAGAGGTGCAGCTGGCGCGTGGCGAGAGGAGATGAACGAGAGATGAAGAGAGAGAGGTGAGCTGAGGAAATAATAGAGGAGAGAGAGAATGAGGGGGTGAACTCGAGGAGGTATTTGGGGAGGAAAACACGGAGGAGTGGGGGATAGGGATATGAGGGAGAGAGGGAATCTGGGAGCGGGGTAGAGAGAGAGTGTATGAGAGCTGAGAGAAAATGAGAGAGAGAGAGAGAGAGAGAGAGAGAGAGAGTCTGATTGGAGAGAGAGAAAATGAGAGAGACTGATTGGAGGCTATCGTTCTTGGGGGAGGGAATAGCCAGATAATTACTATCGTGCTGATTAGCTAACAGCTATGAATAGAGGTAGGGGGATAATGGTCCAGGCTAAATACTAATACAAGATAACTAATAACAATAATAATAACAAACAACCAAATATTAATTTAAAAAGTCAACAATTAAATTTATAATTAGCAAAACCTTTAAAATAAATATAAAACCGAATTTTTAAATCATAGAAAATTATAAAAATTGGAAAAAAAATATAAATACTCTTTTAAAAATAATAATTTAATATTTAAAATACCAAAAAATTATTTAAATTAGTATTAAAAATTTAAGTTATTACATCTCCTACCCTTGCTTATATATTTACAAAGAGCAGGAAAAGCAAAAGAGAACAAAAGGGAGGAGGTGCACATCATCAGGGTCCCTGGGTCGGATGAGAAGAAGAAGCGCCGGGGTCCCCACCGAGGCCGTCGACAGGAAACTTGTTGACACCCAGAGCCAGCTCTAACCCGCCTCCGCTCATCTCAATCTTCGTTAAGAGATTGAGATAGCTGGATACACGAGGGGGGGTAGAGGCGGTCGGGCGCAGGGAGAGCATCAGATGATATTAGTGAGGCTAAGTGGTCGACACCAGCCTTACAAGCCAATGCCACCTTAGGTTTACCCAACGGGGCCATGTCGCCAGTTATCTACCACCTTGGCCCTATACTGCTCCGAATCCAGGCGAGTCAGTCAATGCTCGAGATCTATGACGCGTTGCCTCGGACACATGATGCGCCAACCGCTCCCCATGAGATCTCGCATCAGTTGTTCAACCAAAAGAACTCCCGATTGAGCGTTCTCTTCAGCCGCCTCCCTGAGGTGTCTCTTCTGATTCCAGCTTCCGCCTATAGATGAGCCACCTCTTTTGATAAGCGTTAGCCATTAGACCCAGCTACTTGGCTGGGTCCTATAGCCACTCAGGAGCCTCTCCTTCTCATCTAGCTCTAGGCGCCACGCCTCTTCCCTGGCAGCTAACTCAGCCTCCAAAGCAGCTATCTTTTTCTCTGCCTCTTCCTTGGCTGGATATGCCTAGACTGACTCTGCTCGCCACTCCCTTGCGATGTCCTGCATATACTCGAGCTAGGCATACAACGTCTGCTCCAGTAAAGCCCCCCCGGATTAAGTGGGATTAGAGTCCCAGATGCAGGCATGCACTTGGCATCTCCCTTAAAATCCTTTCATCCTCTGGCAGGGTGTAAATTCATGGACAATAGAAGCAGGGGCCATGATCGAACCTAGGATTGAAGCCTTGGCATCCAGGGGCACCTCCTACACAGACCGATCGCACTCGGGGAATTCCCTCCTTGACTAACGTAGGTAGTGAAAATTTCCTAGGTGATAAAGCTCGTCTAACTAGCCCCGCCTGCCGAAAGCTTGGGCTCTTGTGCATTCAACATAGCCCAGCAAACCTTGCCTGTTTATTGAGCTTGCCCGCAGAGCTCAACTATGCCCAATTATTGAGCTCGCCCGCAGAGGTCAATCTCACATGTTTATTGAGCTCGCCCGCAGAGTTTAGTGGCCTATGTTTATTGAGCTCGCCTGCAGAGCTCAATCTCGCCTATTTATTAAGCTCGCCCACAGAGCTCAGTCACCCCTGTTTATTGAGCTCGCCTGTAGAGCTCAACCTCCCATGTTTATTGAGCTCGCCCGCAGAGCTCAACCTTCCCTGTTTATTGAGCTCGCACGCGGAGCTCAACCACATCCAATTGTTGAGTTCGCCCGTAGAACTCAACCTCTCCTTGTATTATTGAGCTCGCCCGTAGAGCTCAATCTCGCCTATTTATTGAGCTTGCCCGTAGAGCTCAAGCATCGCCTGTTAGCTTGACTCATTTGCATGAATCAAGGTTGTCAAATCATTGAGCTCGCCAGCACGAGTTCAACCTGGCCTGAATGCTTCGCTCGCTCGTATGAGCCAAGCATGCCTACATGGAGTTTGCTCACACAAACTCCGCTTACCAACGAACGCCGGCTCACATGCTGGAGGGGTCCACCAACCGACCTCGTCTGTTCGCCAAGCTCACCTGTAAGCTCGCCTGAGCATTCAGACAACTCTCAAGTTTGCCCATAGCTTTGCCAGCCTCGTCCGAGTAGAGCAAGTGGGTTGCTTGCCTGTGTGAGTGGGCCTACCCACTTCCCACGTCCTGAATGATGATGAGGCATGACTCTCATCACCCCTATAGTGGCCACATCCCACAACTAGGGGAAGACATGATGCTCCTCACTCATTGGTTACCATATCCTATAAATCAAGGGATGACCCATGTCATCCTTTGCCTATTTAAAGCCTCCTTTCAGCCAACGTGAAATGGGCTTGACATTGTTATTGAGACTGGCATCTTGGAGATAAAAAGATCAACACTCTTCTCAAGGCTCTTCGCACTAAGGCCTTCATTTGGCTTGGCTTAGGAGAATATTATTAGCTTCCTGCTTAGATTGTTGAAGTAGACTTAACCTAAACTCTCAGATTTGAGGCTCACGAGTTCTCTGCAAACTCTTGCATTGTAGCTCTCTCTCTCTCTCTCCAAGCTCACGGCTTTGGTACTTTTGAAGCTCGGGTATAGTCAAACTTAATCACTCCGGAGCCTCTACTGCGTACTGAAGCTCTAACCGCAACTTCGATCGGATCGTCCAAGGGAAGCAAACTTGATGCGAGCATCGAGGGAGGCGTCCT